TATTTCTGTTGTTTTGATAATTTCTCTTCTACTTAAACCTTGCTCAACAAATTCTACATTTATTCATTACACTAAACTTAATTGGTCAGCCGTTCCCCTGAACAATCCTTTGACTTGAACACCCAGCTCCTGGCTTGTATAATATTATTATTTAGTATTTTAGTTCTATTTTTTTAATCTCCCAAATTAGACATTATAATTCTCACTTTATATTAACAGTTTTTGTTTAGATTTGCCTACATATTTACTTGAATTCTGCATTCGGTGGAAAGGCATATACAGGAATGGTACTCGCTTTCTTGCTGTGGTTAAGATAGTTTGAATGTTGAGATGATTTTTTTTGTTATAAGATCATACTTTTTATGAGTATACCCAAAATAATTTGAGATAAAAAGTACGTTAATTTTGTCACACATTTCTTTTAAGTGGGGTCTCTGAAAACAATACATGAGATGATGTCTGTCTTGTTCTCTATAAAATCTCAGTGCTTAGCACCTAAGATAAAATGACTGTCAGAGATGTGGCACCAAATATGACAGGAATCCACCTAACCCAGCTTGTGATATTAATTTGTCCTCCTTCTCTCTTTGCCTCTTTCTCAAATATTTGTCTCGTGTAAGGCACACCACGTTTTAATTCCACCTTTGTGACTTCTCAGAAGTGTGATGTTGAGCCAGTTCCCTAATTCTGTGAGCCTCATCTCTATAGTGGGATAATCATAGTGACCTTAAGTGAGTTGTTTTGACTCTTAAATGAAATAATGGATGCAAACAAAGTAATGTTTAGCGTAGGGCTTGGTAAAGAGCAAGTGCTCAGTAACTAGTGTTGTGTAATTCTACTGCCATCTCATTTTCTTAATTATTTTTTCAGAATTTTCATTCCTGGTTTGTCCTGCCATGATTTCTGCCTCTCTTTGTTTCTTGAAAAAAATTATTGTGAACTAGAATTTACATATAGACAGATGGGTAAGAGAAATTTATAATTTAACAAATAGATGTAATTTAACAAATAACTATACCCCATGTGACCACCACCTCTGTCAATGAAACATTCCCAGCCTTGCAGAACCGACTGCCTACTCCCTGTACCCTTACGCAATTCAGAATGCCTTCTTTACCTATAAAAGGAACCACCATGCTGACTTTTGGGCTAATTATTGTTACTTTTCTTTACCTTTTTTACCATCTACATATACATCCATAAACAATATAATTGAGTTTTGTGAAATTTTCATAAATAATTATGTATTATTTTGTGATGCTTCTTTCAGTCAACATTATGATCGTGAGATCCATCCATAATATTTTCTATAGTGTGACTTCATGTTTTTTGCTGTATGGTATTCCATTTTATAGATATCTTAGGTCTTTTTAAGTATAAAAATAATAGCTAGCATTAATTGAGCACTTTCTATGTGTTGTCTTATAAGGTATGTGCCTTTATTATTCCCATGGTACATATGAAGAAACAAAGTGACATAGAGATGAAAAAAATGTGCCCAAGGATTGGAACCAGGTATCTAATCTAGATACTGACTCCAGAATTTACAAAGTTTCTTAGTCTCATTCCTAGTCTCAAGCTTTTCCACTGGTTACCTGTTTTAAAAAAATTTAACTCCATTTGGTTCCTAAAGGATTAAATGGATATTCCAGCCTTCTCATAAAATCTAGCACTTAAAAAAAATTCCTATATGGAGAAATACCTTCTTTATGCAGTGTCACCTTGCATCGTAACTGCCACAGGTCTTTGTACTTTTGCTCTTTGAGTCTTTTTGAAATAGCACCACCAAGATTACACCCTAGTTTTACCATTCATGTATGATTTATATTTCAATAGTTTCACCATTCATATTTATTCACAGGCTTTCATTCCTAATTTAAGCATTCTGCTTCTTTGTTGATTGCTAATTTTTCAGTGTGTTTTCCTCCATTTCTTCCCATTCATAGGCATTTCTGTGCTTGCGACTCTGTCACTCTTCTCTCTTTCTCTCCCCATCTATCCCTTCCCTCCTCCCTCTTCTATCTCCACCTTTAATGCCATTGACCTTGTCCCTGGAAAAATCTCCCTCCCAAAATTCTTTAAGGACAGATCATGAGTGAAGAGTTTAAAAAGAATTAGGAATGACAACTTTAGTTAAAATAGTTCAATATGTTTTAGGTCTGGATTTTATTGATTTCAGCTGATTCCACAAATATATACTGAATTATTTGCTAACTATGCTTTTTGTTAGCTATGATAACTTTTATTAACCATACCCCATTCTTCTCACTACCCAAAAGTGAGAAAAGCATTATCGTCACCATTTTCATTTGGTGGGGAAGAAGGCAGTTCGAACTGCGGAAGGGTGGAAAAAAGAAGACTAAAGGAAGGCAAAAGCTCTATCAAGTTCAGCATTTATATTCAGCAAAAACTGGGCTTCAAACCTAAGTCAGCTGACTCCCAGCTGAATGCCCTTTCTCTCTGATCACAGTGACCCCTAGTGAAGTTATAACGAATAGGAAGGGGAAATCGTCATTGGTTTATTCTTTATTTTCATGCATTCCTTTTTCCTACCAATGAACAAACATGTATTGAGGATTTGTCTTATGCCAAGTATGATGCTAAGTTCTGAAAATTACAAAATTACCACCTGGGTCTGCCGTTGACAAATGGTTTAGGTTAGGATACATGTCAGCCAGTACAGATATGCCCCGCTTTTTGAAAGTTTATATTACATGACTTGACTTCTGTGAAAGACCTACATTAGAAATCTGAAGAGGATTTTTGCTTTTAAATTCATGGTAATTGCTTCTTTGCTTTACATCATTTCGGCTGGCTTTTATAAATTGAAGGTTTGTGGCAACCCTCTGTGGAGCAAGTCTTAACTGCACCATTTTTCCAGCAGGCTCAGAGGATGGTTAGCATTTTTTTAGCAATAAAGTATTTTTCATTTAAGGTATGTACATTGTTTTTTAGCCATAATGCTATTGCGCACTCAGTAGGCTGCAGTATACTGTAAACATAACTTTCATATATACTGGGAAACCAAAAAAATATGCATGACTTGCTTCATTGTGACAGTCACTTAATTGTTGGGTCTGGAATGGAACCCACAATGTCTCCGAGAGATTTGCCTGTACAGTCTCTCCCGCTCATCTCTGTCGGGGCTGTGCCTGTTACTCAGGAGGCACCCTAGAGAGTAGAGATGGTCTGGGGATGTTTCTTAGCGGAGTTGGCCACATCCACTTGCTAAAATCATTTTTCCCACATTAAAATAGTTTTAAAATATATATATATATTTTTGCATTGTACCTCCCAGTTTGTGGACCTGCAGTGGCCTTGATGTGGCCCCTAAGGGCCACCACTGTTTCTCTGCCCTCTGGCTCACTACCTGCTTTTGTCAATACTTTCCAGCTGCCTTCAAACCCAGGCACATACAGACACCCCTGCAGATGACTCCCATTTCCTTCCTTCTCTGTCTACGTGCTTGCAGTTCTTCCTAAGGACACTCACCTACAAAGCCATCTTCTCTGCTAATCCACATTGTTCTCGTTAAAATCTGACTCTTGCTATGTCTCCAGAAACCCTTTTCTTTTGAATGCATTTGGCGAGTTCTTAATAATTATTTTTTCCCCTCAGACTTATAACTTTCACCATTATAGATCATGGTTTCAGAGTTTTCCTAGTATCGCATAACAAAGTATTCAGGTATTTCCTTCAGGCTCAGTTTTGCAAACATTACTATAATGACTCTTGGTCTCTAACCTGTAGTGTTCTATGTTACACAGTGTGTATTCATTTTGATATCCTTTTCCCTTTTGTCCCAAGATAACTCGCAAATTATAGTCCTGACCTTACTCCCAAAATTTGCCATGAAATATCTCGCTTTTATTATTATTTTTGCATCGCTCTAGTATGTCGATAGTCTTTGGAAACAAATGATGTCATTCTATTTATAGCAGTCTGTTTTTAGTAGTTCGATCACTGAAAACGTCAAATCCTAGAAAATATAGCATTCTTACGCGAGATGCACTTTTTTATTTTCTAAACGGGAAAAGGGTTAAAATTAGTTATTTATGACCTGCCATGTTTCATAAACAAATTTGAAGCAGTTCCCATCTCGATTTGAGCTCTGTTCTGTCACATGCTATAGTGCGACCCTGAGCCACCCCGAGTCTCAGCCTTCCCATCAGAGACGTGGGGCGATGCCTGCCCTGTTTTACCTTGTACATGACGTGATGGGGGTGAGAATGCTAAGATGCTATGTAAATGTGAGGTTTGTGTTCTTTTGCCTCTTCTGTCTAGAATATTTCCTGTCCACCATAGTGAGGAACTCTATGTGGTGTGTTGTACTTTTAGCCTTGAAGGGAATCACATCCACTTTAATCTCTGTCTCCGCTGCCACTTCTCCCATGGTTTGGCCACCGTCGCCTCTCATCAGGATTATTGCAGCTGCCTCGTAGAGGAGTCTTTCTGCCTCTCATGTCCCCTCCTGTCCACTGTTCTCCATGCTGCCAGAAGTGATCTTTTTGAAATGAAAATGGGATCCTGCTCTCTAGGCAAAATCCAAACTTCTTAATGTGGTTTATAGTCTGGCCGTGGCCCACATCTCCTTTTCTTACACTATTCAGCTGATAACTCACAGGGTTGTCTATGTTGATAGCTCTCTGCCTGGATCTTTCTCCTTAGATGTCACTTCCTCCAGGAAGCCTTACCTGATACCCTCTAGTCTTGATCAGGTGTCCTCTCACCTGTGCCCGCTACCCTCCCCCAGCACTCTTCACCCCACTCCCCCATTATAATAACAGTGACTTTGAACCAAAATGGTCTGTGTGGGCCGTCTGGATTGTTTGTTGAAATGTTCAGACTGCCTGGCACCTAGCACTTCCTACGTGTGGATGAATGAGTGTGAGACTGCCCAGACACAGAGCTGGTTTATTTACCAGCAGTCATACAGTTAGTTACATTGTGGTCACGGTGTCACTCAGAATACAACTGACCTTCTCTTATTTTCTTAACAGACAAAGACGCGAGTAGCGGGAGTTATAACCTTTCCACCGCCACGACAGGCAGCTACTACAGTTGTGTCAGCCAGATCACCATAGGTGAGCAATTGTGTCGTTTTGTTTTATAAACATTGTTATTGCTTGGGGTGGGTGGGCCAAGGAAGGAGTGAGTAGAAAATGCAGTCGTATGAGCATTTTATTTTCAGAATCAGAGCAATTGCTTGTGGACGGCACCTGCTGGAGCGCCCTCTTGTGGGCGCCTTGTTGCTTTTGCATAGAAATGAACAGAGGCAGTGGGGTCCAGAGAGATTTAAAAAATCCAGGTTTGCCCAACTTTTCATCATTTGTTTTAACTCTTTCATTTGTGTATAACCTGTGTGATTATGTACTTAATGTTAAAAATGACTTTTAAAGATTTTTGTTCATCTAATTTAAAAATAAATTTTATGTCATCACTGTAAATAGGAAACGTATGTTATTTCTCATAAGTCTGTATGAGATGTAGGCATACAGTTCATGAGAAGCGTGAGGCGTATGGATGTACGTGGACAATAACAACAAATCAGTGTTAATGAATGCTACCTACGCTTTGAGGACTCCTGTGTGTACCAGCCACTCTGTCCCCTGACTTCTCAGAAACTCGAAGTCTGCAGCTTGGGGCATGAGGTTTTCCATCGCTCCCCTCCTCATTGAGGGTTCCCCGCCAAGGGACAGTAAGACACTCTGTGCTCACCCAACACTCTCTCCCAGCTGCTTTTCTATGCAACCTTAAGCATGTTTTATTTTGGTCAAAAAAGAAAGAGTGACCCTGATAACTTTTCTGTTTACTGAATCCTTCCTCTCCCACTTCCTTTCAAAATGTCCTTGATTCTAGAATCTCAGCTACTGACTTAGAAGAAAAAAAAATGATAATTGCAGCTACTATCTATTCGTTCTTCTTATTTGCCAGGTGCTTTTGACCCTTGACATACGTTGTTTTACTTAATTAACTCTGAGGAAGGTACTCTTATTTCTCCATTTGTCAGATGAGGAACTTGCTCTTTGCCACCCAGCCAGAAATTTCAATCCAGGTCTGCTTGACACAGCAGCTCTTGCTCTTAAACACTGTATCATGGTTTCTTAAACACCAGTATTATGGACCTCTACAAAAAGAATAATTATGACCCTCTATGATGAATTGAAATTATTTTTATTCTAAGGATAGTAAAGTATGTTCAAACATAAAACTAAATATGTTCCTATATTCCAAATAGCCATAAAAAATCACATTTACATATAAAATTTAAAACACTGTCAAGCAAAAACAAAACAAATTTACCACATTAATTTAATATGGTGGATGTTGTTATTTTGCTAGAATGCAGTCACTGCCGGTAACGCACTGTGGCACTGGCTGCAGAGATGTAGGTCCAGACAGCTTTACTACTGGGAATCGATGGGATGGTAACTCTGCTTTGCTACCACCTTTCCCTGTCTACCCCACTGTGAAATCTCTGCTAATACTCACTCAGGTGAGGTGATTAGATCCTCATTTGACGTGCATGTACCTCGACATATTTCTCTCTCTCTTTTTCTCATTAAGTGTACCAGTTGGGGCCAACTCGATGGAAACACCCAATCAAACCCAGGCACTAAAATTAACTGGCGGAACTTGGTTCACAGTATGCACCTATTAATTTTAGGTGATTAAATTAACTTTAAAATGGAAAGTAAAAAAAAAAATTTAAAAATTCTCGTGGGGCGCTCATGGACCCTGGTTTGCAAATAATACATAAAATGTCATTGCTAAAGACATATGTTAATCCCCGGGAAGTCATTTGGAGTTCAGCGTAGGAGAGTGACAAGATGAACATGTCAATGAAAGAAGGTTATTCTAGTGGGGAACAGAATGCATTTCACGTGGGAGAAGAGCTGCGGTCTTGACGTGAGACGGTAATGAACTTGGGAGGTGGATAAAAGGCGGGTCTGGAGGGGGAGGCGTGGCAGAGCTGCCAGGGCTAGTCATTGACTGGATATGGGAAAAGATAAGTGTGCCTTGAGCTTTTGAGTTAGGGTGACGGGGAGTCTGAACTATTCCTAGCAGTCAGGAAGAGGAGTCAATGGCTATAGGTTAGATGTGTTGGGTTTGAGGTGCCTGTGAAACTGCTGCCACCTTGAAATGTTCCACAGGAAGCTGGAAATGGGGAGAGAACGGGCAGGAGCTGCAGACGAGCTTGTAGAGAGCCAAGGACCAGTCTCCAGGGGAGGTGCAAATAAGGTAGAAATGATGACAGAGGGAGGGAGACCAAATGAGCACATGTCTTGGAAAGCCCAAAGAATTTCTAGAAGGGGAGACTGAGGAGAGTTAACGTCTGCTCTGGTGACATCCCAGAGAGTCGTATCTGTGGATGGTGGTTTGGGAGCCAGCCTGCAAAGCTCCGAATAAGGAGTGATGAGCTGTGAATAGAGACTTCTCCTTTAAGGGACTTATTAGTGAAAGTGGAGGGGTCGCTAGCGAGGACCATATAATATCTAACCCTCTGGGAGCTTTCTTTGTGCCAAGTGCTGTTCTAGGTACCTTTTCTCGACTCATCTTATCCTCACGACAGTCCTGTGAGGTAGATACTATTATTTTCTCCATTTTATAGATGAGAAAACTAAATTCTCTAGAGGTTAAAAAAGGTTACGAAGGATACATGGGCGAGAGCTGGGATTTGTACTTAGATAATCTATCTCCCATTGGACAAAACTTTTGCCACTTGCCATCTTGGCAGCCTGGCCAGCCATGGGCCAGGTGCCCTCCCCTGGTCCTCTTAGCTGCGGCCACCATGTCAGGGTGGTATAGATTGAATCGTGTCCCCCAAAAGGGTGTGTCAAAGTCCTAACCCCTGGTACTTGTGAATGTGATCTCATTTGGAAATAGGGTCTTGGCACATGTAACCAAGTTGAGATTATATCATTTAGGGTGGGCCCTGATCCAATGCGATTTGTGTCTTTATATGAAGGGACACAGACATACGGGGGGCACCATGTGATGGCGAAGGCAGAGGTTAGTGCGATGTATCTATACGTGAAAGAGCACCAAGGGCTGTCCGCAGCATCAGAAGCAAAGAAAAGGGTAGGGATCAGATTCTCCCCCAGGGACTTCAGAGAGAGCCCGGCCCTGCTGACATCTTGATTTTTATACTTCCGTCTCCAAAACCGAGAGAGAATACACTTCCGTTGTTTTCTGCCCCCCAGTTTGTGGTACTTTGTTATAGCAACTCTAGGACACTAATATAACAGGTTCTTATGGAGCTATATAGTTGCCTCTGAAGGAGAGGTGGGTGTGACAGACAGTTTTCTCAGAAGGTGATGGGACAACTGAAAGGGCCTTGAATGTTGCTTCAGTTCCCTGACTCAAAATGGTTGAAACCATAAGGAAATTTATTAGTTTACTGAACAGGGTAGACCAGAGGAAGAGAGAGCTATTCTTACGATAGGTTGATTAAGCTCCTCAATGATGTCGTGAAGGACCTTCTCCCCTTTGCATTGCTCAGAGAGTTTGTCTTTGTGGTGGCAGCCACATGGCTGCCATGGTTCCAGGAATTGCATTTAGACACAACAGTGATCAGAGAGAAAGGCGCTTTGGTGCCTTCCTCCGGCTTTCATTCGTGGAACTGAGAAGTTTTGTTCTGAAGAGCCTCGGAGACTTTTTCTATCTCATTGGGTGGGACTGGGTCGCATGACCATCGTTGATCCAATCATTGACCAGGAGGATGCAGATTATGCAGTTTATCTTCAGACCCATATTGAGGGAGGGGAGGATGAGGTTGACTTGCCCTCAGTCGCATGGCTAAGTGGGGTTGGGATGAATTCTCAAATAGAATATGACTCTGTTGGGAGGAAGGAGGGGGATGGATTCTGCACAGGCATCAGGCGGTGTCCAACACCCACAGTCTGTCCAGCACAAAGCACTTTTGCAATATTTGTAGTAAAAGCAGAAGATAATTAACAACCTTAGCTCAGAGTAGGAGGGAGGGCAGATTGCTAGATCATCCAAGTTCTTTTTTAAAAGCTCCTTTTATTTTTCATTTCCTTCACTTTGGTTTTTCTCTTACAGAATAGTCATTTCACAAGGAAGTGTGATATCTGTGAAGGAATTCCAGTTAAGAAAATATCACACTTGTGGATTTCCTATTATTGTAATTTCTGTAGGAACTATGTCCTGCCCAAAGCAGAGTTGCCAAAAAATTTCAAGAAATACAACAGTGACTCCTTTTGAAATCATTATTTGTTCATAAGACCTTTGGATACCTCCTTATTTTCTGATAGTAAACATGCATCTTACCCATGTCTGAGAGATTTAAGGACTTTATCGTTAATTAACATCATTTTTTTCTCAAGACAGCCTGCAATTTTGAGTTTTCCTTACATGTCTCTCTCTACGATTTTGAGTCTAGTGGGTGATAGTGTTGACATAGAACTTAAAGAGAGCTGAGACCTGCTCCTTCTGTGGGGACAGGATGGTGGGTGAGGGAGAATGGCAGGCTACTAATGTGACATTCCTGTTACTTGCCTCTTGGACACTTGGATGCCAGCCATTCCCCTGGATGGTTAACCCTTTCAAAATACTTCGTCCTCATTGCCACTTTTAAATTTAGGCTGGTCCATTTATATTCCATCACAGCTATGTAGACCTTATATCATTATATCATTTGTATAAACATGGATTAAAATATTTGCTAATGAACTCCATTTCTGGAGTGAATGATATAGTAATTTCCTCATCTAAAAAAAAAACTTGCTAGCTATGTGAACAATATCCTTTCAAAATTAAGTATATGTTATAAATCAGCTATAACTTTATAAAAGAACTGGTAAAACCTGAAATTGTGGAGAGTCCAAAGTTCTTTGGGACTGTGAAGCAACTCGCTTTCACACCGTGCTCTGTTCTGTATCACGAACCCCACCCCGCGCCCTGGGAGCTTGGGAATATGGAACCAGAAGAAGGATTTAAGCGAGTTTCTGAATGAAGCTACAAAGCAAGGAAACACATGGTTCTGTAATTATTCTTCTTGTGAAAGGATTCTCTGGTGTACATAGAAGGTAACGCGTTTTCCAATTTTTAATAAAAACGTAATGGGACATCGATTGAAATGGAGCATTCTGGAATTTCATTTCTATGGCCCAGGACACCCTTAGCAGCTGTAGGACGTCCGAGACTATCGATCAGCAAATGCACTAAACACATTTGCATCAGAGGCTGAGTCCAGCAGACGCGCTCAGGGGCGGCAGGCAGGTCAGCAGGATTCGCCTCGGTCTGCCACCGCGGCTCTGGCTCTTTTGCTCTTCCAAACATTGAGAATTTGTGTTCCGGTTGGATATTTCCAGAGTCTCCATATCCCCCACTCGAAGATTTCCATGCTTAGTTACTTTTAGGAAAGTGAACAACCAAGAAAAATGTAAACAACTCGGTCAGTGTGTCCTCAAGTTAGCATTTCCCTTCCCTTGAACATTCTGGTTCATTCAAATCCCTCCATGAAAAATTGTTCAGGAAGGAGTAAGTAACCTAAGAGCGATTTATGGGGAGACAGGCCCTGTTTCCAGCCCCCAGAATCCCTCTCACCACCCACTCTAGGCAAGGCAGGGTGGCTCAGTGGTCTAGAGCACCTGTGTTGTCTCTAGTGATCCTGGGCTTGAATCTTGACCATTATTTCTGTGTAGCTGTTGACCTTGGAGAAATAACAATGTCTCTTAGCCTCAGTTTCCTCATCTGTCAATGGGAATAATAGTACATGCCGACAGGGTTATTGTGAGGTTTAAATCAGGTGGTGCTCTGCACAGCGCCACTAAGTTAGATGGTATGGTAATTTTTAGTGGATTTATTATTTTATGACAATGCAGTCTATTGTTCATTCTAAGGTTTCAGCCATGCCTTCTCTGGGGATGACTGCTAGATTGATGACTCTGGTCCCGTTTCTTCTGATCTTCATTTCCATTTTTTTCCATCTTCCTGCCACATAGATACTTCCACTAAAGTTCCAACTCTTCATGCCTAAAAACACACCCAGACTTCCTCAGCCCTTGCAAAACCAGACCTTCTGAGGACACAGTTAGGTGAGGGAATCCACCATTCTGGTTGCCACAGGTCTTCTCTGACATCTTGCTAGTGGGGCACAAAGCTGGTGGCCCCACACGCCTTTCTTTCCATCTCTGTGTTGCACATCTCTCTGAACCTCTTTTCCTTTCTTGCTGCCCACACTTAAATCGTGTCCCTTAATAACGCTCACCTGGTCTCCACTTCATAGCCTCTTGCATCTAAGAAGAATTCAGTTAACAGTGGGGATCTACTGAGTGCCAGCTCTGAGTCTAGCTTTGTGCCAGGTACCGGTAGGAGAGGAGTGAGGGAGAGTCACAGAGGAACACTGGGAGAGAGTTTCAAAGATGACTGAGACACCCTCTGACTTTGAGGGATGCTCAGTTCATGAGGGAGGCACATGGAGAGAAAGGACACTTGGCTGTGAAGTATGGGCAGGGACTGTGACACGTCTGTGTTCTAGTGGTTTCTAGCATGGCAAGGGAAGGCTGCCCCACACCGTCGTTCGGTCTCCTCCCTTGTTACCTCAACACCCACCCCCCAATTTGGACTTTCTCTCCATACACCTCCAGACTCACACATCAGCATCTATTACTGGGCCTCCCTTCACTATCGTGAAGGTAGCTTGGGGAAGTCAGAAAGCTTCCTAGAAGAGGTCACCACCAGAGGAAGAGACAGATTCTGCTGCTATTAATTTGATTATTCCAGTCCCCACTTCAGAAATGTTCAGGAATATTGTTTTGCCTGCCAAATAAAATCTTGTTTTCTTACCTTGGCATGTAAGACCCTCAGCTGTCATGTATCAACCTACCTTTCCATTCTTGTTTTTTTTTCTGATACTTATATTCTATTCTTAAATTCTGTGTCTTGGTTGCAAATGCAAAGGTTTGCCGAGGTGAGACATGTAAGACAAATGAGTGAAGGAGGCTAGGAGAAAGGTATTAGAGAGTGGTGGGGTCTGTGGCAGACTGGAATTCCCTTACTCCACCTCAAGAGGGTGTCTGCTGTGGTTGCTTCAGCTGACAGTTGTTATGTGGGAATGTGGCCCATTGTTGCTTGATTTATTTTTAGGAGAATATCAAGAGATTTTTCAAGCGAAAATAGAAAGCTGAATTTTTCTCTAAAATTTTATTGTTGGTGAATTTTAATTTGGTTTTATTTCATATTACGAAAAGTGTAGACTAAAAACACATCTGTAGGACAGATATGTTCCTCTGGCCTCTAGGTTGCAGGCCTTGCCTATGAGGTCAAGTTCATGCCACCTTCTTCATGATCTAGTCCTTCCATTAAAAGGGCTCTCTCCCCTGATATCCTGGGGGGAAATTTCTGTCCTGTTTTTAAACCATTTCTTTCATTTTATTTTGTGCTAGGGTTAGTTGTACTTTAGAGGAAGAAACAGATTTTGGAGTCAGACAGATCTGGGTTCAAATTCTGCTTCTGGCCCTTACTGGCTTTTTGACCTGGGGCAAGTTGAGATCTAGTTTCTTCATCTATAAAATTGAAATTAGTAAAATTCTTCTTGTACAATTGCTGTGAGGATTAGAACCCCTTATGCAAAGTGTCCAGCACATAGGCCTTCAGGTATTTTCTTATGAACAAAAGTCTTACCTCCTCTGCTAAAGGCAAAGACCTGGCACTGAGCACATAGTATGTGCTTAATAAACATATGTCAAATAAATGAAAATGATCCATCATCTGCCATGATTCCTGCCTGTTTATTCATAAAGTAACATGCATCCTTACCTTAAATGGTGTTTGCTTTGACTCATAAATAAGATTTCTGGGAAATATAAAAACCACTACAGTATAAGGCTTTGATTGCTGCTCCTGACCTAATGTGTTTGTCTCGCCAGGTTACGATGTTGCTGGGCCTGTTGCAATTGGGTTCACCCACTGGAAAAATCCTTATGCACAAGGCAGACCTACCCTCCCATCAGATCTGCCTCTCTTCGTCTCCAAAGATGCAGGCATCCCTGTGTATCACCAATCCCTCACTCGAAAGACCGACCTGGCCACGCCTTTGTCCTGCCCAGCCTCACTGTCCATCACTCCAGTGCCTTCGTACAGCAGCAGCAGCCAGGAAACCCTGAGTCAAGACACGACAGGTAACATAGTTGGCTTCCTGTGGGAGATTCGGGACTCGGTATATTTAGGTTCACGCATTTGTCTGCTAACCAAATTGTATCTGTGTTTCTGCTTGTGTGATGTTACGGACTCCAGCAGTTTCCCCATATTAATAGCTTGGCTGTACCAGAAGGAAGGTTGGATGTGTTCAAAATATTTGGTTTAAGTCTATATTTGACCTAGTTCTATTTGGTAAAATGATCATCTGGAAATCAACCTGGAGTTAGAATCCCAAGTTTTGTCATATGACTTTTTGTTGGTTTGCTTAATTTCTTTAATCCTCTATTTAATGACAAGGTATCTATCTTGTACTAAACTCTTGTAGTCAAAAAGTCATGCAGAACAGTTGGATCTGTGTCAGTGGTCTGCACACCACTGCCAGTGGGTCAGATCTGGCCTGAGTAGTTCAGCCCAAGAACTAAAAATAGTTTTGATTTTTAAAAATGATTGGTGTCTTAGTCTATTTGGGTTGCTATTATAACAAAATAGCACTGACTGGATAGTTTGTAAACAACAGAAATTTATTTCTCACATTTCTGGAGGCTGGAAGTTCAAGGTCAGGGTGCCAGCATATGGTGGAATGAGGGCCGTCTTCTGGGTCTCAGACTTCTCATATGTCCTCACATGGCAGTAGGGTCTAGGGAGCTCGGTGGGGTCTCTTAAAAGAACACTAATCCTGTTAATGAGGGCTCCACCCTCATGTCCCCAAGCACTTCCCAGGGGCCCTACCTCCTAATACCATCACATCAGGCATTAGGATTTTAACATATGAATTTTGAGGAGACACTAACATTCAGACCATACAGCTGGAAAAAATTAGGAGAGTAATGATATTTTGAGACACGGGAAAGTTATGTGAAATTCAGATGTTAGTATTCATTTATAAAGTTTTGTTGGGACACAGCCACGCTCACATATTTACACATGGTCTCTGGTTACCTTCTTGTGAGTAATTGTGGCAGAGACCATATGACCTGCAAAGCCTAAAATATTTACTGTCTGGCCCTTTGCAGAAAATTTTTGCTGACTGCTGACTATGCGATCCTTGGGGGTCGCAACTTAAACAATCAGGGCAAGAAAACTGCTTACAACATCTTGCCTTAAAATTTACGACTTATATTACACTTTAAATGAGTTACAGAAAGTTTTGCCTATGCAAGGATAGCCCGTTAATTGTTTTTATAATAAGTCTGAATTGGAAGTTTACTGTAAAATCCATCCTGCCACATTTTTCTTATATAGATATAGCATTTAGAGATAATGGTCAAGTTGGCTAAATCCAATGTGCAATTCCTGTTCTGGAAATCCAGTCTTTGAATGTCTACACTCAGCATTCACAGTGCCACTCAACGATCCATAGGAGCTGCCACCTAGAGATGAGATGCTTATATTGCAGAAGTTCCAGATGATCAAAAGCAATCTTTAAAGCAGCAGATTGCAGACTCCACTAAATGTTCAGTCACCACTGAATTTGTTAAAAATGAAGATTCCTGGACTCCACCCAGGGGATGCTGTGTCTATGCATAGAGTGAGCTTCAGCAGCCTGCCCGCTGCAGCCTGACCGTCCTGGGAGTTTGATTCCCATACACACCTTCGGGGACCCCCTCTGAAGTGTCTTTGGTTAAATGACTAGATGGGAATAGAAGAGGTTGATACTGTAGAGTACTGGCGACATTTGCCTACCATCAACTCTACCACTGCAAAACTACCTATCTCTCGTCCTCATGGAGGGTTAGTTTGAGAGTAGAAAAATCATATCTGGGGTGTGAACATTTTTCCATATGTAAGTTTGAAATCTGGGTTTTGATGTCATCACGAAGGGAAATCGACTCTGATTGCTTTAAAATTTTAGTAAAATCTGAAGTTAAGAAATAAAGTGCTGCCTTTGGCCAGGTTAGCTGAAAGGTTATGACATTTTGTGACAAAAAGGAGTGTGAAATGGCAGCTGTCAGATTAACAATTTACCACGTTTCCCTTTGAGTTGGCTTTTCTCTATGCGTAGAGCACCGTACTCTGATATTTGGAAGAGGTTTCTATTTTTAGCTTGTAGTTTTCAAAAGACAAAAGCCCATAATTCTCTTCATTCCTTGGAACTGTCCATTAGCAATAAAATACTGAATTTTTCCAAGCAACTGGTATTATTGTTCGTATACCTACAAAGTAAGCCCGAACATTTAAAGATGTATTACACAAGCATGTGGTATTTTATTATAGAAAAATTTAGATGCTGGTATAGCTTCTATATAAATCTCAATGATGATTTATACAGAAAATGAATTCTTACTAGAATTTATTAATCAAAAACTTTTTACCAGAATTTATTGATTTTAATGTATATTTTTGTGTGAAGCTTCCAGTTTCCTTTTTTCTTCTTGTTTTTTTAAAAAGTAAATTTTATTGTTTGTTTGAAGCTTCCAGTTTCCTTTTTTCTTCTTGTTTTTTAAAAAATAAATTTTATTGTTTGTTTATACATACACGTGTGTGTGTGTGTGTGTGTGTATGTGTGTGTGAGACTTTGGTTGCTAGTTTGAAAAAAACTCTGGGGTGAGGTGAGTCAGGTCAGGTGTATGACAATGCCCTACAAATTTCAGACTTTGCTAGGCATACAACCCTTCATATTTCTAAGGTGTCTTTCTTCTGCATAAACTGCAGGTCTGATGTAGAGGAGCTGATAAGTTGTAGGCACAAAATAACCATACAATTATTCATCGATTGTTGACATTTTCTTACGTTTAAGAATTTATCTAAACACATTTAAAAATCATTTTTTTCCATTTTCATAAACCCCATTACTCTACAATTCTAGAAGCAGTTTAAAAAACATCAAATGACTAGAGCTTCTTGAGTTCTCGTGTTTTGAGCTGTTTTTACTCTCGCCACCACCCTGTTCCATCTTTCTTTCCCTTCATCATGTGACTAACTTGTACAGCAGGTTTTCTTGAATTCAAGATTACCTAATCCCATTTGCCACCATGTGCAGTGGAGAACCTGTGAAACTCTGCATGGTGGCCCTGGATGTAGTGTTCTTTCCTCATGGCAGAAACGTTTTAATCACTGAATAAATGATAGCAGGTTAACTTGGAAAAACAGTCTCCAGTTTTGGGCTTGCTCCGTCCGTCCGTCCGTCCGTCCATCCAACACATACAAAGTTCCTACTCTGTGCCATATTCTGTGATAAATCCTTGGGATAGAAAATTGAGAAAGGCATCACCGCTGTCTGGGGAGCCCAAAATCTAGAGAAGGATACAGATAAGTAAATCAAGTTATTTTAATTCAGTGTGATAAAAGCTTAGATAGAAAATTTCACGTTGGGCAATCACATACAGACGTACTTTTATTATTTAATTACTGTGCTGTTAAAATACTAATAGTATTTTAATATAAAGCTATACCAGCATCAAATATTCTGTAAAAATATAACATTAAAATATATTAGCAAAATATATTGGGTACAAAAGATATTACTAAATTATTTCTTCAATTAGCAGAAGGTGAATTTGAGAGAACTGTAGGAAAGTTGGGAAACTGTCTCCATCTCAGATATTCTGTGTGGTTTTGATAATTTTTGATGACCAAGCTTTAAAACTTGCAGCATCACCACTGTACAATGTACATCTTTGGTCACTTCCCTCTCCCCCCCACCCCCAGCTGATTCTCAATCAGTTTCTGCCATTGTATTCAGTTCTCAGCTGCATGCTGATGACTCCAAAGCAACATTTCCCTGTCTGATTTCGCTGACAAGCTTTAAAGATGTACTTAGCCTGCCAGACTTTTCAGGCTGGATATATACCACACATTTTAAAGCTTATGTCCCGTAAGTGGAACTGTCTTCTCGTTGCTCTCAAAATTCAATTTATTACTCTATTTAATGGTGTTACAGTCTATCCAAACTCCAAGTATAAAAACTGGGTGTTTTAACCTTCTGCTGGCCATCAGCCTCCACAGCCAACTGGCTAACACATTCATAATGTCTGTCTTTGAACCATCTCTAATTCAAAGCCTTCTCTCCATCCCTACTGATACTCTCTCAGCGTAATTTCTCATCATCTCTACCTAGCTTAGTGCAGCCATCTTGTAACGAGCCTCTCTACATTTTAATTTTTCTGCGTCTACAGGGTTAGCTTTCCGAAATTCAAATCTTTCTCTCTCCCTCCCTTCTTCCATTTGTTCTTTCTCCTTGTGCCCATGCCGCCTGGAACACATCTGTTGCTTCCCCATTGCCAGTAAACTGTAAACACTACATACATGGTACATGAGGGCCTTCCTAACTAGCTTTAACTGACCATATAGTATCTTTCTCTATTCTCTCTAGATGTATCCACACAGTAGTTACACTTAATTCTTTACTGTTCCATAAAGATTCATGATTTTTCACATACTGTGCCATCTGTTTGGGTGTCATTTTAGTCTCTTAAACCCAGCTAAGAGGTGACCTCCTCTGAATTCTTTCCATTTTTTCTTTGCATTTCCATTAGCAATACCTCTAGACATCTTGAGTTTTGCTCTTATTACAGTGCAAAATAATTTTCATGTGTCTTGTTAGTTTATAAGGTGTAAAGTTCTTGAGACAAGAATCAGTGTCTTAATCATGTATTTCTTTGGTCAGTGTACAGCCAAGCATTAGAGGGTATGTTTTTTATGACCAGTTAAACTGCAGATTAGACATGGTTGAAGAGAGAATTAGGCCTGGAAGATACATCTGAAGAAATTAATTCAAATGCACTATAGAGAGATAAGAGATAGGAAAATAAGGAAAATATAGAAGACAGAATGAGAAAGTCCAACAACATACATTTAATAGAAATCCTTTTCTGGATTATGAGAATAGAAAGAAGGAGAGGGAGGAAGAGAAGAGGAGGCAAGGAGGAAGAGGGACCTGCACAGAGAAAAGGCCATGTCTGAGAATTTTCCAGAATTGATGAGAAACAAATCCTTTGATTTATGAAACAATGACTGCTAAGCAGAATAAATAAAAACTAAT